TGGTGCGTTTTTCTTGGGGTGGCCACATGATGGGTGATGCTGTTCTGGCTCTTGATGTGACATACATCTAAAAAATATGCTGTGGGGCCCAGGAGTCAGGTGGGCATCCTAGGCAGCTGAGGGAGGGAAGGACCCCATCGGAGGAAGTGGGAAAAGCCCCCCAAGGCCGGGGAATTCCCTGCAGGGTGGGTGTCAGGCAGCAGCCCCAAGACTGGCCCTGGGAAGCCATGTAGGGTGTTCAAACAGATGAGGGAAGATGCAGGGGAGCTCAGGCAGGGAGCCAGGCTCTCTGAGCAAGGGGATGGATGCAGGACCTGTAAGCTGAGGTTCCAGAGAACTCTGGTGAGGGGTGGAACCAAGAGCACCCCAGGGCCCAGCCCGGGCACCTGCCTTCAACCTGGGAGACCAGACCCAGACTCAAGTCCCTGATTCGTATCTTCCTAATAATTGTCACATTCAGGTAACTTCTGATAATTCCTAGTGTTCCCTTAAGATCTTGTCTTTGCCTTGGTTGTGATTCTTCTGCCTACTCAGCTTGTGTGTGTGTGTGTGTGCGTGCGTGTGTGTGTGTGTGTGTTTTAATGGCATTGTGGGGACCAGATATTGGCTATTTTATCTTCAAGGCTGTAATGGACTGATGTCTCCCTTGGCACCCTAAATCCCTATGTTGAAACAGTGGTGTTAGGAGGTAGGGCTTGGGGAGGTGCTTAGGGTCAGATGAAGTCATGAAGGTGGGGCCACCATGATGGAATTGGTGCCCTTCTGAGTCACCAAAGAGCTGGCTCTCCTCTCCATCCTCCACTGTATGAGAAGTGGCATCTGCAGCCTAGAAGTGGGTCCTCTCCTGGCCATGCCAGTGCCCTGATCTTGGACTTCCAGCCTCCAGAACAGTGAGAAATCAATTTCCTTTGCTCGTCAGCCACTCCAGCTATGGCATCTTCTTACTTAATAAAGAGGGAATATGCAAATTGACCATCACACCATAATGGTCACGATGGCTGCACCCACAGCAGAGGCAGGGATTCCATAACACAAAATTGCTAAGACCCCTACATTCGTACCATTCTAAATAATTCAAAAATACCATATAGAACCAAAATAAAAAAAAATTAGAAACGTTTTTAACAAAAAAATTGTTGGGGAAGGGGTTAATAAAGAGGGAATATGCAAATTGACCATCACACCATAATGGTCACGATGGCTGCACCCACAGCAGAGGCAGGGATTCCATAACACAAAATGGCTAAGACCCCCCGCCTGGTGGGGCTTGACAGGGGACCTCAGGCCACGCCCCCGCCCCGGCGCCAGGCTGGGGGAGCTCAGGCTGTGTCTCCCACCCAGCAGTTTGACTGGGGACCTTAGGCTGTGCCCCCCTGCTCAGTAGGGCTTGATGGGGGTCCTCAGGCTGCACCCCTAACCCCGGCACCAGGCCAGGAGACCCGAGGCTGCATCCCCCCACCCTGGCACCGGACCAGGGGACCTGAGGCTGCATTCCCCGCCATGCGGGGCCTGATGGGGGAACTCAGGCCACGCCCCCTGCCCACAGGGCTTGACGGGGGACCTCAGGCTGCGCCCCCCGCCCTGGCCCAGGCTGGGGGACTTGAGGCTGTGCCCCCCACCTGGTGGGGCTTGATGGGGAACCTCAGGCTATGCCCCCCACCCTGGTGCCGGGCCAGGCGACCTGAGGCTGCAACCCCAACCTGGCAGGGCTTGATGGTGATGGGGCCAGCTGGGTCTGGGTCTTGCACGATTTTGAGGCGCACATGGGTGGGCGGGGACTTTACTCTGGTTCCCGTGGTGTGCCCCAAACTCTGACAGGAGAAAAATATTCATATACATTTTACTAATTTTCTTTCATCTCTGGCACATCTTTAATAGAGAAAGGGCAAATAGCAATATTAAAATATTTCCTCTAATTAATTCCCTTTTAATGTGCACGAATTTCAAGCACCAGGTCACTAGTTTTGCTATAACAGCCAGAATGGACAAAGCCACTGGCAAGGTGGTCCTTCTCTAAGTCATGGACCATATCGCTTTTCCCAGCTCTGTCCTGGCAGTCTGCTTGGGAGGAAGTCTGGGTTTTTCTCTTGGGAGCTAGGTGCCCTTCAAAGCCCTCATGCTCCCTAATTGAGGCAGCCCCTCATTTGGGAATGGAGTCTGCCACAAAACCCCTTTCTGGCTTCTGGGAAGAGCTGTGTGTAAGGGAACAAGCAGCTGTTGCTGAGCAAAGTGGTGTCAGGAATGTGGGGTGTTGGGGTCAGGGTGGTTTTGAAGATGTTGCAGACAGGTTTCCGAATAGGCTGGGTATGAGAAAGAGAACAGTAACAGAAAAATGGAGCTGATGTGCCTGAGGGGTAGCAGGGGAAGGTCAAGAGCACTGGACATGCTGCCTGAGCTGCCCAAGACACTGAGGACCATAGGAATAAAAGTGGGACTTGCTGACAAACATCTAGAGCCCACAGGATGGAGAGGAGGGGAGAGGGGAGACAGGAGCCTGCAGGGGGTGAGGAGCGCCATAGGGGAGGCCAGATATTGCCTTGTGGGGAGGGGACAGCGAGAGCAGGCGAAGGCTGGAGGACTTGACAGTGAAATGGTTTCAGAGTCCATGGTGCACCTCAGGTCCCGTTTCAGTTCGCAGCATCTTTTCTTTGCACTGGTTTTTCCTTGGCCGACTTCTCTTGATTTGCTTTGTGGGGGGAGGGGGGAGGGCTTCTTTTTAATTCTTTTTCTTCAGATGGTTTGGAAATTATATAGTCAATTTCTTGCAACGTAGGGTTTCTCAGCACTACTGATGTCTGGAGCCAGGTTTCCTTTGTTGGGGACCATCCTGGGCTCTGGGGTGCTGAGGCCTCCGCCCACCAGACGCCATTAGCCTCTTCCCTCCCTCCGGTTGTGATATTCAAAAACGTCTCCTACCGTGACTAGTGTCACTTTGGGGCAGAATGACCCCCCTCCTCGAGCAGCACCAATATGTGGAAATTGCCACTGATGAGTCAACAAAAACTAAAATACTTGTCCTCCTCCTGAAAACACAGGGTCTTTACCACCATCTTCCATCTTCCCTAGTTTCCTCTCACCTTATTTCTTCTCATTCCCACCTTCTGTGTGTGTGTGTGAAATGTGCACAGACTGTAAATATCTTGGGTTTGATGCATGACAGCAAAGGCTGTAACTGTCACTGCTTCTTCCTGCCTTGGCTGCCCCACAAGTGCTGCACCCCATTGTGCCCGCTGTTTGTGCCAGTCACTGCCTTGCTTTTGTTTATGGTGTTTCCACTCCCTACGTGTCCCTAACCACATGGTGTTGAGCTCCAAAGCAGAGAGCAGGCACAGCCATGGTTGGGCAAGCAAGGGGCCAGGCATCCTAAGGCACCACTGCAGGAAGAAGTGTGCCCAGTGGGCTCGGGGGCCACCAGGTGTCAGATGATGACTCCTGAGGTGCCAGGGGACAGTGCGGGTCCTGCAGAGCTGGGAGATGATGCTCCGTTAACTGGAGGCATCCCAGGACACCAAGGGCTGGGCATCAGGCACCTGGAACCTTGCCTTGTTCCATGGAATGTTCTTCCTGTTTGCTTGGATCTCTTCTGCTACAACTATTTTGAAGATTCTTCTTCTAAACCAATCTTCTAATTTCCTCTGTCAGTTCTTGTTTTGTATTATCTTTTATTTTTTTCTTCTTCTGTAAGATTTCCACGTTATCGTCCATTTGCTTTTAATCTCCAAGAGCTCAAGAGAACAACGGTTTGTCAGATGTTCCTTTTTAGTAGCATTGTTCTTGTTTCACGAGTCTCTTTTCTCAGAACATTCTAGACTGTTGTTTCTTTTATTGTTTTGTTGTTTTTTTTTAGAGAGGAATGAAGAGGGACAGAGAAACATTCATGTGAGAGAGAAACAATTGACTGGCTGCCTCTTGCACGCCCCCTGCAACTGGGGATCCAGCCTGCAACCCAGGCATGTGCCAGGAGCGGGAATCGAACCAGTAATCTTTTGGTGCATAGGACGAAACTCAACCAACTAAACCACACCAGCCAGGGCATGGTCTGTTTTTGTATTGCAAGTTCCCTTCTTCCTGTAGAATCAATTCCCCAAAGATGTCTTTTTTTCTGTTTGGGTCTGTTTTCCACACTGGACATTCCTCAGATCCCTGGACAATCCTGGTTGTCTACTCACCCTGAAGAATAAGGGCTGAGACAAGCAGGGTGGAAGGCCAAAGGAGTGTGGGGAACACAGGGACTCTACCTAAGCTGGAGGCTGATGGGAACTCTGTGGTGCTAGTGTTATTAGGTCTTTCCTCTTGGACCAGCTGGATTCCCCAGGGACCTTCAGTCTCATGCCTGGTAAGTTCTAGAATCTGCAGGCAGGATAGGGGTAGTGGCTCTCTCCCTTTAGCATTCATTACGTATAGTCACCTAATCCCATTTGCCACCACATTCCCTACCAAGCCTGGCTTCTCTCCTAGCAGTGGTGTCATGGGAAGGAAACAAGCACCTGAGAACTTTCCGAACAGCTAGCTCCCTGGCCGCCTGCCCGCCTCACCCCGCCCTCAGCCTGGCCATTGAGACCTGCTGTCGTCAGTGCCTCTGGAAGTTTCTACGGGTAAATCAAGCTGTTTCCTGGGCTTAGGGTTTGGCATCCATTAGTTTGGCAGTCAATCGTGGCTCCTCCCTTAATTCCACCTTCTGGAACATACTGCAGCCTTGTACTTTAACTGGAGATTTGAGAAGGATCAAAATTGGATGATGCATTTAGCTTGCCTCAAGCCAGGTTTTAACCCTTGTTTTTTTTTCTAAAAATTTTAAAAATGTTTTTTTATTGATTTCAGAGAGGAAGGGAGAGGGAGAGAGATAGAAACATCAATGATGAGAGAGAATCATCAATAGGTTGCCTCCTGCACGCCCCACAATGGGGATCAAGCCTGCAACCTGGGCATGTGTCCTGTCCGGGAATTGAACTATGACCTCCTGGTTCATAAGTCAATGCCCAACCACTGAGCAACACCGGCCGGGCGAACCCTTGTTTTTAATATACTTTTCATGTTTATCCACATAACAGAAGCATAAGATGTTGACTGATTCATGAGTCATTCAATAAAGCCTATTAAGACCATTACAATTTACTCAGTTGAATTTTGGCTTTTCAGCCACGTGTATGTTATTCCACATACATGCATACATAGTGGGTTCCCACTGTCGCCACAGTGACAGAAAAATTCCGGAGTCAGAGAGAGCCCCTCATCCTCTTTGCTCTGGGCCTATGGCCTCAGCAACGTACCCGTTTGCTGTGTGTGACATTTATAGGAAAGCAGTCCCCATGTACCTGTGGCAGAAGGCAGTAGCCACTGTGGCCCAGCCCAGAACCAGGGGCGCACCTACCCCACCCACCTCTCTCTCCCCCCAGATCCCTCCTTTCCCCCTTTTTTAAAAAGCCACCCTCTGTCATTGCTCTGCTGTCAAACCTGACGTGCACATGCAGTCTAGGAACAATGGCTGTGGGACTCAGCCACCGGCCTCAGGAGATAGTTTCGAGGCAGAAGCTCAGGGTCCCAAGGGGGCCCATGCAGGCACTGCAGTGAAGGGTTGGGCACAGGCCTCCCAGGCCCCCTTGCACCTGGGGATACTGAGGCACACACAGAGAGGGCGGCCATGGGGTTCCAGGAGTCTCTTCAGGTGGCTAGGAGCCTGCCAGGTGCTGATGGAAGTAGAGGCCAAAGAGGCTGGAAAGCAGCTGGCAGGCCGCAGTCCACCAGATGAGGAAGGCCAGGGTGCCACGGAGGAAGAGGGGTGTGAGCAGACCACCCAGGGCCCCAGTGATCTGGGCCGCCGCCTGCTGGGCCTCATCCTCCTTGGGGCCCACTGGGCCATCTTGGGCTGCTGCCAGTACTGGGGCTAGTGGGAGGGCCTGGCCCAGGCCCCAAGAGTAGCCACCTGTGAGGAGAGAGTAGAGAGAGGGACGGCTGTAGGAAGGAGGGGTGAAATAGGGGGATATAGGGACTGGAGGATGAGGAGCGGAGGAAGTGGGGCTGAGGCCAGGACGCCTCAGGGACCCCCAGGCCACCCTCACCCCACAGGCAGTTTCCTCTCACCCAGCGTCTTGAGCAGAAGCGTGCAATTGAGGGTGAGGATGAGAGGCGTCAGGTACTGCAGGCTCACCACCGTCAGGTAACAGTAGACCCGTACCACCTGGTGAGCAGGTAGCAGGGACAGATGACCTTCTGGGCTCCAGCTGACCCCACGCTTGGAAGGCATGAAAGGCCTGCCCTGCAGCCCGGGTTCCCTCCCAGACAAGCACCCGTACCCGCCGCTGGATCTCGCAGGCCTCAATGCGGCCAGCCTCCCGCCTCAGCTGCTCCACGCGGGCCTTGGCCAGGCATAGGTAGGCTTGCAGGTGGGGCCGGGTCACTGCCAGCCGCAGCAGGCACAGTGCCACCAGCACCCAGAGGCGCAGCGAGTCAAAGGCTGAGTCCGACAGTCTGCACAGAAGAGGGTAAGGAGGCTAGTGAGGCCCCTTCTGCCCCAGGATCTTCCCCCAGGACTCATAGCCCTCTCATGGCTCCTCCCTGAGCCTGACTGGCGTACACAGGGGGGTCCCCTAGCTCCCCCTCCTGACCCCACCCCATACACACAGGAAGAAGGGTGTGTCCCCAGAGGGCGCCTGGTGCAGGAAGTTCCGTGCAATAGGCTTGGTCCAGAGCCACAGGATGAACAGGGGGGACAGGAAGCTGGTGTGCAGGAGAAACCTGGAGGCAAGGATGCAGCAGGGTGAGGCCTAGGCACCTACCATCCCCATCCACCCCCTGGGCTCCCTAACCTCTCACCCACCCGTTCCCCACTTCACTGCAGCACGGGCCGGTCTTCTGACATGGTCAGTGCATCTCGGTGGGTCTGGGCCAGCCGCAGGCCTGGGAAGGTGAGGAAGGCACCCAGCATGGAGCCTAGGATCGAAAGCCCCACACGGATGGCCAGCTTGACCAGAGGAACCCTGGGAAGAAGAGACAGGTCAGGGAACCCCACAGCCTGACAGCCGCCCCAGCCCCCCCTCCCTTTCCAGGACTCACATCCAGTCCCAGCCCTGCATCTTCAGAAGTGGCTCCAAGTTCTGGATCATACTGGCCAGGCCTGGGGAAGACAGAGAGAGGTGGAGTAGAGCACACTCCTGGGAACTCAGAGCCTGCCCTGCCCCCTCCTAGATGTCCTTTGCTCCTCAGGGAGGAACGCACCAGTGGCATCCAGGCCCCATGCCAGGCAGGAGGATCACTTAATGCTCCTTTCAAAGAACAGGAGAATGGCCCTGGCCAGATGGCTCAGTTGGTTGGAGCATCGTCCGGTACACCAGAAGGTTGTGGGTTCAGTTCCCAGTCAGGGCACATATCTAGGTTGTGGGTTTGATCCCCAATTGGGGTGCGTATAGGAGGCAACCAGCTGATGTTTCTTTCTCACATCAATGTTTCTCTCTCTAAAACATAAAGAACAGGAGACAATCAGGCAGACCCTGGATTGTGCTGGGGGACATGGGAAAAACAAGGGAGCATGAATGGGCGCTGACAGGATTACACCAGGAATTGAGGGGCGTGAAGGGCTCCCACGGGAGAGAACGGGAGTCCTGAAAAGAACGCTCAGTAGTTCAGATCCCCAGACTTTCCACAGAGTCAAAGCAAGTAAATATCGATTCACAACCAAAATCACCAAACACACAAGGAAACAATCACCATAAAGGAGATTCGGCAGGAAAAAAACAAGACAGTTTAGACTTCAGAAACGGGTATTATCAGCTTTGTATGAGATGACTGAGGAAAATAAAAGCTGGATGACAGAACAGGTGACCCAAGATTACCTCAGCTGATCAGGTACATTCACAGAGAAATCAGCCTTTTCCAAAGGAAAAACATAATTACTGAAATGACAGGATATTAAACATTAAATTAGAAACAGCCAAGGAGGAATTCATGAATTGGATCTGAAGAAATCACTCAGATTCCCACTCAGAAAGAAGAAGGTGGGGAATATGAAGGGAGATGGAGACAGAGGACAGAATAGGAAGTCCAGCATAAGTCAAGTCAGGGCCCCAAAAGGAGAGACAGAGAGAGAGAATGAAGGAGGACAGGAGATACTGCAAAAGAATGGTCGAGAAGTTTGCAGAACGGATGCCACACACTAAAGACATCAAACCAGATAAATACAAAGACACCCATACCTAGACATACTGGTGAAATTGCAGAATACCAAAATCAAAGAGGCTGCAGAGCAGCCTAGGAGTTAAAACAGATCACCTATAAAGGAAGGACAGTTAGGCGGGCAGCCACTATCAAAAGTAACAACAGAAAAGGAACAATATAAAGTATAAAAGTAAGATGGCAGAGACAAGGCCAAATATGTCCAATCACAATAAAAGACAGATTAAACTTCAAAGTTAAACAACATAGATTGATACACTTGATTGAAAATACCCAGCTATGTTTTTTAGAGACATACCTCAACATGAGGTCACTGGAAAGTTGAGAGAAAAGAGATGTTAAAAAGCATAACAAATACTACAAAAGAACACTATATAAAGACTATATTAAAATCAGACAAACGAGACTGAGGTAGAAGTGTTACTAGAATCAGAAAGGGTCAATACATCATGATAAAATGGCTGATTCAGCCATTTGTAACACTGTACAATAAATTCTTTAGGGACAGAGACGTGTGTGATGAAACTGTTTGTTGTTGTTTTTCAATGTTTTTATTGATTTTAGAGAGAGGAAGGGAGAGGGAGAAAGAGATGTGAGAGTGAAGCATCGACTGGCTGCCTCCTACACGTCCCCTACTGGGTATCAAGCCCACAACCCAAGAATGTGTCCTAATTGGGAATTGGTGCGGGGACGAAGCTTAACCAAGTGGGCTACACCGGCCGCCCAGGGAGAAAAAGAAATGATAACCACGAAGTTTGAGGCCTTGGCCGGGAAGCTCCATTAGAGCACCATACCTCTAGCCAAGGCTGCGAGTCTGACCCCGAGTCAGGACGCATACAAGAGTCAACCAATGAAAGCATAATAAGTGGAACAACAAGTCGATGTTTCTCTTTGTCTTTCTCTCTCTTACCCTTTCTCTTCCTCTCTCTCTCTCTAAAAATCAATTAAAAAACAAACAAACACAAAACTTGCCCTGCCCAGTGTGGCTCTGTGGTTACAGCATCTGTGAGTTTGATTCCCAATCAAGGACAAGTACCTGGGTTGCAGGTTCGATCCCCAGCCCTGGCAGGGGCCCATGCAGGAGGCAACCAATCTGTGTGTCTCTCACTTGGATTCTCTCTCTCTCTCCCATCCTTTCCCTTCCTTCCTCTCTCTAAAAATCAATGAAAAACATATCCTCAGGTGAGGATTAACAACGAAAAAAACCTTAAAACAAACAAACACAGTTTGAGAGACTGGTCGGGGCTAAGAACAGGGGGAAGGCAGTGGGACCAGGAAGGAGCACCAGGGACACACAGAAGTGCTGGGATCCAGTTCTTACTTGAGAGGTGGTTCATGGGTGTTTACATGATTATTATCCTTTGTAACTTACATATGTGTGTTATTTTATGTATCAAACATTATGTAATTTAAAAAATAGAAAAGTGGGGAGAATTGGTGATAATAAAGCTCAAGGAATCAACAGGGCCCTGTAAGCCACAGTAAGGAAATTGGTCTTTATTCAAAGACCATGAGAGTCTGGTATCAGGCAGAGAGGTTGCATGATCCAAATTATGTTTTTAAAAGATCAATCAAATAATAGAAAAAGCCAAAACCAAAATGAGAAACTAAGAAAAAATAGAGAACTCCTACAATCAATAAAAGGGTCAACAACCCAATAGAAATTGGGCAAAAGAGTAGAGCTTTTCTGGAAGGGAAATAGAAACAGCTTCTTCAGCATATGAAAAGGTGCTCGCCCTGGTCGTTTTGCTCAGTGGATAGAGCATCGGCCCTTGGACTGAAGGGTCCCGGGTTCGATTCCAGTAAAGGACATGAATGGGAGGCAACCAATCGATGTGTCTCTCACACATCGATGTTTCTCTCTGTCTCTTCCCCTCCCTTCCACTCTCTCTAAAAATCAATGGGAAAATATCCTTGGGTGAGGTTTAACAAACACAAAAGATGCTCAGCCTCACTTCTATTTTCGCCCATTAGCTCACCCAAGATGAAGAGGTCAGAGGACACCCATTGGAGAGGGTGTGGGAAATAGGCATGTCCATGCATGGTTTCCTGAAGGACAATTTGCAACATTATCCAAATTACAAATGCACTCTGGTGCACGGGACTACAGGCACAAAGCTATTCCCATGCCACACTGTTATATAACAACGTGGTTTTGTGCGACAACCATTTAATAGCAGAAGACTTAAATGTCCATAATTAGACAACCAAGATGGCGGCATAGGTAAACACCTGAACTTACTGCCGCGCACAACCACTTTAAAACTACAACTAACATCCAAAACCGGTTTGGCTCAATGGATAGAGCGTCGGCCTGCGGACTGAAGGGTCCCAGGTTCGATTCCGGTCAAGGGCATGTACCTGGGTTGTGGGCACATCCCCAGTGGGGGATGTGCAGGAGGCGGCTGATCGATGTTTCTCTCTCATCGATGTTTCTGACTCTCTATCTCTCTCCCTTCCTCTCTGTAAAAAATCAATAAAGTATATTTAAAAAAAAAACAAAAAACTACAACTAACATACAAAACAAATATCATCCAGAACCACGGGAAGGCTGGCTGAGTGGAAATTCTACAACTAGAAGGTCAGAGAAAAGCACATTGAGTCTGGTAGGAGGTGCAGAGGTGTGGAAGCGGAGGTACAGGGGCTGGCAGCTGGGTACGCTGTTGTCTTTTTCAATCGGGAGGGAGATACAAGCTCCCGACTGCTTTGAACTCCAGTTCCGGGTGAGAATTTGGGGACCCAGACTCATACGGAGAGAAACTGGACTATCGGGCGCCAGGCCAGAACGTGAAGGCAGCTTTCTCACAGAGGTGCTTGCAAAGGTCATTGTTCCTGCACAGGCCGCGGGGCACAGACCCCAGGACCGCTCAGAGGCAGAGCAGACTGGCAGCCATTGTGGTTTGCTCTCCCTGAGACCCCGCCCCACCCAATTTACAACCCCACCCAAGCTGTGTGCAAAGGCTTTTGCATATGAATGGCCTGGCCTTTCTCCGCCTAAAAACCTGGGTAGACTCATTGAGCACCAAAGCCCCACTGAAGTCACTCCTGCCCCATAAGGGTGTCTCCAGCACAGAAGTTCTCCCATTGTAGATACAACTGGTCCTCACAGCCAACTGGCCTGAAGGTCAATTCCTCCCAGTGATACCAACAGCAATCAAGGCTTAACTACAATAAGACTGTGCACCCAGCCCACAAAGGGGTGCACCAAGAGTGTCCACCTCAGGTAATTGGGGAGGCTGAGCC